TGTTATTATTTGTAATTCTGGCAGAATGAGTTGATGGAGATCTTACTCTGTTCCTATCAGGTCTGTCATAAAAGTCAGTTAACTTGTTCTCAAAATTTGTCTTGCTGGCTTTATGACATTACTGCTAGTTTTTGTCATGCTGACTTTGACTCCTTTCTCATTCATTAGGGCTCAAATTGTCAAATACAGTAAATGATTTTTCTTTGCCTGCCCAACCTGACTTTGTGTGCTGAAAGAAAACTACCCTGCCTGAGTTTGGTTTGCAAAGAGGTGTTTTGCCGTGAAGTGTTCTGTATGTTTCAAGTGCTCTTGGAATTTCAAAGGTGATGAAGCAGTTGTGAAAAAACAACATCCCACTTAAAGCATATAATCCCAATAGTTTGTGAAGTTAACACTGTAATTTACACAGTTTAAGGAGTTTGGATTCCTTTTGCCAGTCTGTGTACTTTGTGTGCTTATGTTGTTTTTAGATGTGGCTGAATATATCTCTTTACTGTACCAGTTTACAGCTTAAAAAAACTTTAGTTCTGTGTATGAAATACTGCCCTCTGGCAGAGTCAGCTTAGGTATTAGCTTTTATAACAGCTGCAGTTCAATGTCTTAAGTCTAAGAGAACAATATGCTTAACACTTAAGCTATTACATATAAAATGCTGTTGAATTTGTTTAATAATGCGTGCTCATGTACAACTCTACAAGTTACCTGCCTTCTGATTATCAAGGATGTTATGTAATTTAATAAAACGGTAATTTCTTACCCGATTTTAGGTAAAGGTGGTATTCTATGATAGGCTCTGTGTGTACATCATGACAGCCTTACTAATTTTGTGTGGAGCTTCGTGATAACCAAACCTGTCCACTTCTCAGAAGTTCTTTATGTTCACTCTATATTAACAACAACTAGAGATACTGATAGTGATCTCTCGCCTTTCCCAGGGGTACCACAGGCTGATGTGGTTTGTTTAAGCTCTTCTTTGCCACGCTAGAAAGGCATATTCATGTCATCATTTTTCCCTATGTTTGACCATCCCAGGCTATAGAAGGATGGCTTTTGGTGGGGAGGAACTGAAGGAGACCTGAATTTGAAGAGAAAATTGACACTGTAGATATTAAAAAAAAAAAATCTCTGCACAGTAATGCGTAGTATTTTGGTTTTACTGCAGTGTAACTGGCAAGCTTGTGGCAAGCTGGGAAGCTTGGCACTGTGTTTCAGCAGTGGAAACTGGCTCTGCAGAATCTGTGTCATTTCTTCCTGCCCACTAGTTGCTGTAGTCCGAGATGTGTAGCTGCCAGAGGCAGTGCTGGCATTAATGTTGCAGTGGCTGTGCTGTAAGATTGCCGGAATAGAAATTCAGTACATAATGGTTTTGGAGATCTGTAGTATTTCTGAGCGTGATTAGGCAGGTGTCTATCGTTGCTTCCTAAGACCCTCATAAATCAAAAAGACAGGAAGAATCTCTGCATGGGTTGTCGCTGCTCCATTCAAAACAGTTGGAATAACCTGGCACTCTCACAACTTTTATTCTAGGAAAATGCTGTAGTTGGTGTCTTGAATTTACACTACTAAGTTGGTCGCTGAACTCGCTGTCCCCTTTAAAGTAGCTCTGACTCCCAGAGTTTGTTAGATTGAAATTATTGGTTTATAAAGTAATGATCTCTTGTCATTAGACATCATAGTTACATCAGTGTAGCTTGAGGATTTTATTAATTTACCACAGCTTCTGAAAAGCCTAGTTGCAGATCCTGAAGTCCATTGTCTTAAGTTGCACAAATACAAGATAAAAGATAGTCTTAAGCAGTTTACAATGCAAGTATTGGGCAAACAACAGTAGATGAGTACTCATGTGGTATTTTGTGTTGTGGATACAGTTAGTCATGAGCCTGTCTGAGGTTTCAGTGCTCAAATAAAAACCAGCTTTGGCCTGGGTGTCATGCAAGCAGCAAATGAGATGCTCTTTTTGGCAGTATAATGCTGTCCTAGTGTAGCTGTGTGTTTTCCAAGATGAAGTTGGCATGCATTTGTCTGTCTTGGTGTATATGCAGAATGTCTGTATCATCTTTGCCTGTTCGTTTCCTTGTTTAGCTGTTATCTGTATGGTATGGCTTGAATCCTTTCTCTTTCCTGGTTCTCCCTTTCTCCCCCATTTCTCTTGTTTTTTTCGAGGAACCATCATAATTTAGGCTTTTGCACTCAGGCCGTTAGTGCCAGCTTGTACTTTATTTCCCCACTCCCCCAGGCGTAGTGGTATTTATGTTTGTGTGAATGGGAGCTCCAGAATCCTCTTCAGCTGTTGCATGGTTTCTTTTTTGAAGGATGTGTCATGCTGATTTAGATTGTGTGGCTCCTCTGAATGGTAATAGATAATTTGTTTCTAAGTCATTATCCTTGTCTCTGTTCCTGCTAGTCCATGCTCAGAGGAGTGCTGTCTGTTGGTATGCCACTGAACTACCAAAACAGCTGGGTTGTGCAGGAATAGTGACATTTAGTTGTCTTTTGCATTTGTGTACCAGTTTGTTACCAGCAATTTGTTAAATCTGATGATTGTGAGTCTTGAGAGGCTTTATACAACTTTGTTTTCTTTAATGCTTTTAGAAAGCAGATGAGAGGTAAAGCTGTTAGAAGGGTGCTCTAGACCTTGAAAAAGATTTCAGTCCACTCTGAAAGAAATGTCTGATACCAAAAAATGTCCTTGAGCTAAAGGCTCTTTTTGGGAAGTATCCAGGAAATGCGAAGGAGGTTACTGCATTCATGTACCTGGGATTCTTTTTTTTTAAATTATCTGCGATGTTAGAATGGACAGTAAATAATATAATAATTTGAAGAGTATTTTGAGTCCTATCTCATTATTATGCACTTTGAGAAAGCAGGCGTGAGAGGACCTTTTGTGTCTCAAAACAAACAGAACTTTTTGTTTGAAGTTTACAAAACAGTTTATCGTCAGTTTATAAATTCACTGCTTCTTTGTCTTGAAGTAAGCTATTTTTGAATGGTATAGCTCCTTTTCTTCATGACTGCACCTTTCAAAAGGAGCCTTTTTTCCTTTGAGCAGAATTTCCTTAGTAATAGTAATTGAGAAGGTTGAGAAGCAGAGCTCCTCAGGTTGTCTAGAGTTGCAATTAAAAAAAAGCAACCCACATCTTTGAAAGCCAGGTTCAAGGTGCTTTATGCTGCTGGACACTGCAAAGGCAATGCCTAGGTGGCTATTAGTAAAACTCCCAGAATAACTTCCTTAAAAATGTTTGTGTAGCTTGAAAAAATAAATGTTTAGTCTCTTGTGAGTGTATCAGCAGTCTTGGATTTAGAGGAGTATTCGGCTGCCTGATTTTAGTTCAGCTTGTGGTATGGGTTATGGGAGTTATTTTTGGATCAGACGTTAAGTAAATGCAACCGAACCCTGCCAGAGCTATCAAGAGGCAAGTGGCAGGAAACTTTGAAGCAGCTTTGTAAATCTTCCTCTTGGGTCTTGTGTCAAGTTTACTTGGATTGAGAGAGTGACTATTTCATCCACACTGTAAAGACAGATTAGAAATGAAGTTTCAGACAAGTAATACCAGTTCCTGTTCTCTCAAAAGAGTCTAGTTGAATGTAAACCTAGCTCTCATGTATCTTCATCTACGTCTCGGTATTCTGGTTCTCAGTAATTCACATTTTAGTCCTTTATTGGCTTGTATCGAGGTGTTCTGTGTCAAGACTTTGTTTAGCACTCTCAAAATCAAGGATTTGGAATGAGGGAGAGTTACAGAAACAGAGATTGGTCAGGTAGTGAGCCCTCTAGTGTAGTAACATGTTTGACAGTGGCCAGTACCATTTCCTTCAGAGTAGTCCAGACACCTTTGTGGAATAAGGTGTTCGGAAAAGAATGGACTTCCTTTGTCTCATGCAATTAGTGGTTTTGCTGTGCCTTACTGCTTGTTCATATCATGTATGTTTTTCATCCAATTTAATCTACAGTTTGCTTTCTTTGCAGTTTTTTTTTTTTAAATGGAAAAGTATTGTCATGTTTTCAATACTGATGAAAACTATTTTGTAGTAATTTAATGTGTAATTTTTAAAGAACGATAAAGAAGACTCTTAGAAGTTAACATACACATGAAATATTATTGAATAGATTTCATGTTCATGTGAAATTCCCTTTTCTAAGTTACATTCTTCTAGTGCCTGTGCAGTTTTGCTTTCAGATGACACAAGCATAAGGGAGATCAACATAGCTCAGAACACTGTGAATCTTGCTTTTTGTGCTGTTACTGTATGGCATCACAGGGAGGTGATCTCTGTTGGAAGACATGCTTTTGCAGCTTGACATTGAAATTATGCCTTGTCCAATTCAGTCTTAGAGGCAATTGCTATCCTGATGGTTTAACATAAACACAGTTTACAGAATACACTGCGTTGAATACATAAATATGGCAACTACAGCTTCTTTCTATGGATCACTTGGAGTATATGCATAGATAGAGTATCATCTCTCTTGCCTATTTTGAGTTCAAAAGATGAGGTTGATGTCTGTTTCCGTCAAGTCTGTAGGAGCTCTGAAGGGCAACAGAAGCTGAAATATCAAGTTAGTATGTTTCAGTATCACAGTGTTTTCTTTCTTTAAACATTTGAAAAAGTTCCAAAGTATGTGTTGCTTCTATTCCTAAAGAAAAATCCAGCAAAACTTACTTTTGCATATGACCATTACCTTCTAGGTATTTAAAATGTTAAGAACGATTTGGTAGAATTAGCATACGTATATATGAACTTTTTGCGCCAGCAGCTTTAGTTTGTCATACTGTTTAAGAGTTGTTTGTTCATTGCTGTCATGTATATTGTTATAACTAAGGTGACAGAGCATGCTTTGCATGTAACAGTATATGTGCTTAACAGATATACGATTTAACCTGCTTTTAGAAGTTTGTTGCCATCAAGATATATTTTAAGAGTAACTTGTACCGTATAACAGATTTCTTTTCCAGAGATACATGCATATTTAAAAAAAAATCAACCTTTTTTTCAGGTCCCTTTACAGATGTAGTAACTACAAATCTTAAACTACGAAATCCATCAGATAGAAAAGTATGCTTCAAAGTGAAGACCACAGCGCCTCGTCGATACTGTGTGAGGCCGAACAGTGGAATTATTGACCCAGGGTCGTCTGTAATTGTTTCAGGTAAAAATATATCTATGCAGTTGTAGGTTAGGTGCTTTTCAGGCCTTTCATGAAGTTCTCTAATGCTTGGTCTTAGAGGCTGTTTGAAGTATGTCAGCTTTTTGAAAAGTTGCCCTTCATTAGTGCCATTAGTGTCAACTTGGTGTAGAGCTGCAATGATACATGAAAAATCCTCTGTACAGAAATATTTGCCATTTGTCACATTTATCTGCAGCTTGCTGAAAGGAGGAAAAGAAAGTTGGAAGTGGACAGTGACATTAACAGTACCTGTGCTTCAGACTACTATATTCATGCTTGTATCTTGAACTAGGGCATTGCTTAGCTGCCCTGATGTGTTTAAAGTTGAACATTTGACAGTTCATTGCATTTAGAAAAAAAAAAAAAGGGCAAAACAGTTCATTCGCAATTGTAGACTAGTTGTTTTGACCATAGTATTGGTTCCTGAACTCTATTGTCTCATAATTCTTCCATTTATCACAGTATTAGATGTTAAGTGGCAATCATTAAATTGCTTTTAAAAAAAATTACATTTTCTGTTATTTTAGGTAGGTGGAGCAGTCTGTAGCCTTCAAATTTGAAAAATCTAGCACATTTCACTATAGAGACACTCTCTACTTATTCTGTTTTGGTTTTTTTTCCTCCCCCTCCTTTTTTTCAGTGAGGGGATGAAATAAAGAATCCTTACTTTTCAGCAGAGTGTGAGCCCTGAAGCCAGACAGTATTTCCTTTTTTTCCATGAAACTCCATGTAGGTTTGGCTTACGTGTTTCATTCTGACAATCAACAGAATTTCGACGGCTGGACGTATAATGGTCTAATCCTGTACTGGACTCTACAGTGTCAAGAAGACCAGGTGTTAGTAATCATGGGAGTAGACATTCTCAAGAAAATGGATGAAGACTAGGTATCAGTCTTCTGATTTGGTAAATGATTTTTGTAGATCATTCAGTCATTTTGAGGCAGAAATCTCCACAATGAATGGGGATTCTCAAACCAGTGACTGTAAGTGGTGAGAAACTTTATTTCTCTGGACCTACCATATTTCCCAGCTTGGAGAGAGGAGAATCCTGCTTTTTATAGGCTGTGGTCTTACAGGTTGTAGAGAACACGGGTGTACAGGTTTGAGCTCCTAGATCTCCTTAGTCTAGAAACTTGATTTTTGTACAACCCTTGGAGTGCTGTAGCAAAGCAAAAGGGAAACATGGAGCAATCCTCAGAGCTTTTCAGATTCATATCCTTGTACCCTTTGGGAACTTTAAAAGAAGCAAGAGAACTAGCTTCAGGTGATACGTTCAAATGTTGCGAGGAATAACTTGGGAAAACTTCATGATTGATTAAAACCTTATAATAACTTCCCTTGTAGGAGAGACACCAGTTTTCTAATCTAATATGATCTATAGAATGTGACCCTTTAAAACTTGAGTATTGCTTACCATGTACAGTCCAGCATCTTGTGGATGAAAAATAATTTTACTGAGAATTGGTTCAAGATTCAAGTAGTCAAAAGCCTACTTTATTTCCATCTTCAACTTCGATTTAAAGCCATGTTGTCTTAACTGTGTGTTTGAGCTGGTATCGGGGATCTTTCCCGTGGGTAGTCATATATCGCAATCAAGATATTGCTGGACTTTCTCTTCAGGGAACTGAATAGATTGAAGTATTCCATTTGCCTGTTGTAAAGTGTGTTTTCATAGTTGCAAATCATCCTTATAACGCTTTGAGTATTTCAGTTTTTCAGATGAGGCAATACTGGAGCTGTAAACAATATTATAGCTTCATGTTCACCAGTAAAGGGAAACAGTGTCATACTGCTCGACTCTTCAGTTTGCATAGCAGGCAATCTTTGATATCCCTTTTTCTGTGTTACTGGATTCCCATGCAGTTATGCAGCTACGGTGACCTCAGGATGCTTTCATGTGCAGTTGTTTAGTTACAGCGACTCCACAGTGCTTTTCAGAATTTAGTTCTCTTCCCCAGAGTGTCAGCTTCATCTTTTTGTTTTTAAGCACGTCATTTCTTTTGGGTCACTTGGTAAGCCAAGTGCGCAGATAGTTTTTCTAGTGACCCACTTTGTTATCTCATCAGTCTCTCAACTGAATGTTTTCAGTGCTGACTCATCTTTCATATAATTAAAAATAGATTTCTCTCCCATTGTTGTGCAGAGAGAAACCACGGGCTGAAATTTTGGGTTCAAAACTAAATGTTGAGATACTGTTAGCTGACTTCAGCCTGTATAATGCATCGTGCTGATTCAGAATCAAGCCAGTTTTTAAATTCATTGTTGGAGGTGTGATTTAACAGTCATTGAAGGAAGTCTATGGGCATTTTGTTTATCATTCGATTGTAAATCACTAGGTAGCTGTCTTCAGCCATGTTCATACTTTTTTTTTTTAAAAAAAATACTGATTCGGTAAGACTTGTTTTTCTTTACCTAAATTAACTATTTATTGTTGTATCATGTATTGCTTGTTGTTAACTTGTTAGCAACAATTGCTTGTTGATGATTTTTCTTTTCAGAATATAGCGTGTTACTCTTCTTCCTTCACAACTTGTTATGTTCCTTTTTACTGTTCTTCCTTTTGGTTTTCAGACCCCTTTAAGATTTATTGTGTGGAGATAAAGCCCTCCCTTGAGTAGAAAACCTAGGCCTACTAGGAAAGACGCTTGCTTTCATAGCTATTTGTTGCAATTCACCTAGAAGTGATCTCTGGACTACTCGGGGATTCCAAGAACATGTTGAAAACTGTGGCTTCATATGTTCATTAGATTTCCCATCATTACTTAAAACTGTGAAGAGCTTGAAGAGCTCTTTGAATTTGTGGATTGTCTTTTTCTGGTGCTTTTCAATACAGTCAGGTTTTCAGCTGTTACTGAGTTGTCAAAGAACATTAAGTTATTTAACTAGTTATCCAAGGATTCTGCCAGCAGGTGAAGAAGTTCTCTGATGATGAAAAGATGGCTTTGCCATCTTTCAAGTTATGCCACCTGTTCCCTTGGCTTTAGGGAACTGAATTACTGCTTGCTATTCAGTAGTCTGTTGATGGAACAATTCTTAGTGATAAATTGCTATAGGATCTATACCTGGAAGAAGCATTTAGTTTGATCAGTTATGTTTTGGATCACGGTGATACCAGTGATTAAGGAAACCTGACTTTTAAACCTTTCCAAATAGTATTGTTTGAAAGCATGTCAAGTACTACAATTCCTTTATATGCTTTATTTGTGAAATATATGGGATTCAGATTATTTACTTATACTTTGATTATACTGTATGTAACATTTAAGGAAAAAACCAAAACCAGATAACCATCCTGTAGCAAACACCTGCAACTTCTAAATAGTATTTAAGGCCTAAAATTTTTCATAGGTACTAGTGATTTTGGAAAGGCTAAGTTTGATTTTGTTACTGTACTTAGTATTTTATGAACTAATGCAGTTCAGTCCTACCATGAAGAATTTACTCTGTGTGTGAAGGTAAGCACGTTGAACTGTACGTCCAATGAAGATTCAGAATTGGGGAAAATATAATCGGATTGTTGAAAACTGTAGCAGTATCGAAGTCTACAGGCTGAATTGGTTTAGAATGTATGGGAAGGTTCTTCAGAGCATACAATATGGGGTTTTTTGGTGTGGTTGGTGTTTTTGTGTGTGTGGTTTTTTTTTTTTTTAATTTAATTTTAGCTAAACCAGTATTTCTGCTATAGCTTTTTCATTGCTGTAAATAGGTAAATACACAGATACCTGTTGATAGGACTCCATAAATGTAATTCTTGGGTTTTTTTTAATCTCTGTCTGAAACGACTTCCATTTTTCTTTTAATTTTGCATATATATATACTGAACTGGAATCGTCACTCTGTGGAAGACAAGTGTGTATACACTGTCAAATGATTTATCTCTACCGTTCACTCTGAGTCCTCATCCTCTGGTAGACCAAGTTGCAAGTGTACCCACGTACACATATTTAAGTATACTTTGTGTCATCCTGTACTCCCATCTGGAATAAGGTGACTTTTTGTCTCTGAGCAGGGACAAGGGGGCTAACGTGATAGTTCGTTTCAGGGCCCACTCCAGACAGACAGTGTGGTTGGAGGTAGACTCTGCTCGTTGTGTATCCGTCCCTCTGCTTCAGTAGTCCCCCAACACTACCATAACAAACCTTGTGTATTCAGGTATTTCTGCAAACCCTTATGTTATGCCCCTGGATATGCAACTATATCCTATAAAAGTTCTAATCTCCTGGTCTGTATTATAGACATCATATTATTTCAGTCCCTTTGAACTAAAGAAACCACAAAATAGTGATGCCAGGGTGACCTGGACAACGGCTATGTGGTGTAGAAACATACAGCCTGCTCCTGCGTGGCCTTCTACAGCTGGGATAGATAAAGGTACTGTGCTTATTTTATTCCAAAGAAAAGTCCTGTGGTGTTTACTTGGGTTTTTTTTATCTTACAGGATCTGTTTGTTCATACTTGTGTATGAAATGTCTTTTAGCTATAGTACTGAAATCATCATATCAGCTATACCAGACTCTGAAAAACTTTAAGACCTTTCCTCTCAGTACCTGTTGCTGCAATGTGTATCTGCTGTATTTTCAACACTGTCTTTGCATTTGAACTTTCAGTGACTGTTCAGTGAGAAGCAAATCTAAAGTGGATAGCATGCTTGTTACAGTGAGCAGCTGAAGAATCACAGTTTTATGCTTTATTTTTTCTTTGTAACAGTAATGCTGCAGCCTTTTGACTATGACCCGAATGAGAAGAGTAAACACAAGTTTATGGTACAAACAACCTATGCACCACCAAATATTTCAGATATGGAAGCAGTGGTAAGTAAAAATGGGGTAAAATAACTGTTGTCCTTTTTTTTTTTCCTCAAAAATGCAGGCGTAAGTGTAAATGAATCATGTTTTTGCAAATGATTTTTGGAGAAGAATTGGGTTTTCTCTGAAGTATGACTTCCATACATGATTCAGGGTTTTTAATATTAAATACAAGCTTTGTTCTTAGAACTCGCTTAGTGAACTTGTTGAATGGAAATAGTAGTGAATCTAAGGTAAGGTCAGTTCAGTGTTAAAATATGGGCGTGTTGTACCTTACGTGCAGCTAATCTGAAGGGGATAAAGGTTGTATTTGAAGGAATCAAGAGTATATTTAAACAGCAAGCCTGAAGCTGTATGAAGTGGGTGCATTTGGTCTGGGAAGTGTTGAAGTGAAGTGTTGAATGGGATTATAATGAATTGAAACATTTGGAAGACTAAGATATGTCTCTTTACAAGTTACCAAGTGGCTAAACACAACACAATTGATAGATTTATTTTTTGTTTTAACAGAACATATTGTAGATTCAGTTCTGTGTTCACTCAAGGCAGAGGAGGAGAGGGGAAACAAAGGAGTAAACATAAGGTTTTCTGAATCACTGAAACCCACTAGACCTCTGCAGGTTTAGGCTCTGTCACCTTATATGAAGGCAAAGACTACTATGGCGTCACTCTTCACTGGAAACAGTGGAAAGCCTTTTAGATTTTGTTAAGGTTTTGAGGCATGGAGCTAGAAAGTTACATCTCTCTTCCTTGTTGGTCTGGTTTACTTTTTCTTAATATGCTCTGATAGCTCTTGGATACATGTGGTAAGTGAAGCGTAACAATTTGGTGAGGATGTAAAAAATCCACTTTTGAAATACCTTTCAGATAACTGCTTGCTCAGTGTGCTTAAGTATAGAATACTGAGAAACAGATCTTGCAGAAAATCGGTAATTGTAGTTATAAGTTACTGTACAACTAGTGCCACTGAAAAAATGAACAAGAACAAAAAAAGGAAGGATGTTATGAAATGCCTGGTACCTCCTGTAGTTCTAAGGTAACTTCGGAGAACCTATTGGAAGAATTGCTGCAGACTTCAGATCCATCTTTGAGCTTAAAGATTTAAGGCAACTGCATGAAGTGTATGCTTTGAAAGTTAATTGTCAGTTGGGCAGAGAGATTCCAGCATATTTCACAATTATTTAAATATATTGACAACCATTAGAATTTAAAATGTTTTTTATAAACAGCTTTGAAAAATTCTCTAGGCCCGAATTGTAATGCATTATGCAGTTGATGGAGAAAATGATTAAAAATCTAAAATACGAAGAATGAAAGAAATTTACTCTGGAACTAAACAGAGTCACTAGAAGGTGTCTTTCGATCTTTTGTTTAATTGGTGCTTCCAAGATAGGGAGTACATTTACTGACAAGTGATAGGGCTAGAACTCTGTTCTGCAGCCGACTCACATGGTACTTGTTCCTCATTGTGTGTTAAAGGAACCACTGTATTGTCCCCTCCCTATCCCCTACAAACCTCTGGATCCATCTTTGCATTCAATTTAATCATTTCCATTTCCAGACTTAATTAATCATTTCTAGCTTTCATTACTTCACAGTAGTCAAAGTGAACAAAAAGACATTGCTCAGAAGCAAGTCTGAACATTGCAGCTAGGGTAAGGACAGTATTCAGCTATATAGGAGGCAAGTACTAAGAGCAAGCATGTGAACTGTTCAGATGTTTGCACAAGTCTGGCATGTTAAGTAACTATATTCATTGTTGTCTTAGTGGAAAGAAGCAAAACCTGATGAGTTAATGGACTCCAAATTGAGATGTGTGTTTGAAATGCCCAATGAAAATGATAAACTGGTAAGTAAGCAAAGAGTAAGAAACTCTCATACACTGGCTGGTAGGATTTTTTTGCTTGTTTTGAATTTTTTTTTAAACCTGTTTGATTTGTTGATTAAATGAATTGTAGGAATTCGTACTAAATTAGACTGGAGGGGTGTTTGGTGTATAACTTTTCAAGGATTCATAGAATCATAGAACAGCCCAGGTTGAAGGGGACCTTGAAATACCATCTGGTCCAGCCTTTCGTTGGAAAGGGAGCATCCTGTCCAACTGCATCTTAAAAAACCCCAGTAATGGAGACTAGTGCCAAAAAGTATTGTGCTCTTGTTATTTTTATTATTGATTTGCTTTAGCGTTTTATTGCTGTCAGATTAAAAAAAAAAAAAAGAGAGAATCTTATACTGCGTACAGTGAAAAGTGAAATGCATCATTTTCTTTTTAAAGTATTAAATTCTTTTCAGTTTTAAAAATTCTGTTTCTAATTCAGCTGAATTAGAAAAGGAAGTACTGATTAGAAATTAGTGCATGCTTTGGGAAGCCTAATGCGTTTTTTAAGGTAGTGGTAAAGATAGATAATCAGACAAAAAGAAAAATTCCATTACCTCTTTCATGCGTTTGCCTTCAGACAAAATCTATTCCAGTTGTGTAGGATGTGACAGTTCCATTGTGTACAGACTGAAGATGCGTGTTTTATGTTCGTGATATTTGGAATAATAGTTAACTGTCAGTTACCTAGAAGTTGTGCAGAAGATGACTAAATTGTTATTAATTGACTCTTTTTTTACCCTCATACTTGAAATTCTGATTTGTGAAACCTTGCTACTGCACATTCTGCATTTTCTGAGGGCTTGGGTATTTTTTTTTGGTGCTGCTTCTAGCATTGTGAATTAGAGAGCAAAGGTAGGATTTCTGTAAACAACCTTATTCACTTTATGGCCTTGACGTTTATTTTTAGTAGTGTTCAGTTTTTACAGTAGTCTGTAAGGCATGTTGGGGGAAAGTAGCATGAATCTATACACGTAAAGACAATCTCATTATTTACATGCATAAGGAGTCTCAGTGAAGGCTGCTAGGTGGCCAGTAGCTGTCTCTGCTACTTTGTTTTTGGAGTGTGATGTGAAGTTGTTTTCAGACAAGACATCAGTATATTTTTGGTGGGGTTTTTTTTTTGATTTTTTTTTGGGGGGGGGGTAAAGGATAATTTATGAGATGCAGCCTTTTATTCACGTGTAAGCTGCTTGAGACTGTGTTACCTGCTGAAATTGTAAAGGTTAAGCATTTATTATCAAGGCATTTTGTTGTCTACTTGCTCTATTTTTTACCTTCTTATTAAATTGGAAAAGTAGCTCCTGCTATCCAGGAGACTCGTGGAGTGCTTTGAGGATAGCTTCTTAAGCCAGGTAATAGACAGTCCAACCAGAGGGGATGCAATACTGGACCTGTTGGTCACCAGTGCAAGTGAGCTAATTGGTGATGTCATGACTGGAGGCAGCCTGGGCTGCAGTGATCATGCACTGGTGGATTTTGCAGTCCTAAGGCATGTGGGTCAGGCGAAGAGTAAGGTCAGAACCCTGAATTTTAAGAAAGCCAACTGCCGTCTCTTCAAGGAGTTAGTCAGGAGAACACCCTGAGAAAGGGTCCTCGGGGACATAGGAGCAGAACAGAGCTGGCAGATCTTGAAGGACGCTTTCACAGAATCACAGAATCACAGAATAGTAGGGGTTGGAAGGGACCTCTGTGGGTCATCTGGTCCAACCCTCCTGCTG